TAACAAGATATTCACAGATCAGCAGAACAATTAATAAAAATTAACCAAAACAATACAATCTCACCACATCACAGTTGAAAAAATCATCTCAGACACAACTCATAAACAATACCATTTTTTCACAGAATTGGTGAAGTTTTGAAAAATCAAAATGCACATTAAGAAAATGTACCTTAAAAAACTTGATCCTAACAAGATGAGTTGAAATTCTTGTGTTAACACATATTTTGAACTTTCAAAAATGACTACTAGTCCCAAAAGAAAACTTTCAACTTTAGCTATCAACAGATGCAACAGGCTAGCAATCTCTATTAACGGACGGCTTTACTGTATTGCTTTTTGTTCATGCATACAATTTATAAATACAACACTAAACAAAACACTATGTTAAATCTGTAATCTTTCATATATTTTTATGAAAATAAATATGCCAAATATGCATTACTAACTTACTAAGAACTGTAATCACCACAATATTTACCAATATCCATAAAAATAGTGTATATTTAAGAGAGTTACAGAACAAAATTAATACCCAACAATAATAATTATATGTACAACGAATGTGGGCTGGTTTTCATGACCATATTGAGACTTCTTATTTTGATACTGCAGTATGAGTTGTAAAATATTCTAATTATTTATAAGTTCATATACGTAATGCTTAGAGAAATAAACACATCAATTCTATATCTATTGTTCTAAGTTCCCAGAAACAAGTAAGTGGTATAATGGTCTTACAGAAACACAAATAATTCTTCTATGTATAAAGAAATTCAGTACGATTGTATGTATGCTTCATCTGGTGAAGAGTAAAAAAATGGCATTTCCAATATAAAACATTATATGAAAACATAAATATGAATACTGGGATGAATGTGAAAACTTAAATGGTAAATTCTAGAAGTATGTAATTATTCTTTAAAAAAAAAATATTATGTTAAATAAAAATGTAGAAAAGCTAATACCCTTTTAAAGTAAAACAGAATGTATTTTTCAATGCACAACGTACACTAAAATGGGTCCAAAGATTTCATTTCTCACTTTCAAAAGAAATTCTAACAAAATGGCAGCCACTAATTAATTAATATAATTTAAAATTTAGTATATTATATTTATTCTCACCATGTTCTAAAATACATTCTTTCGTTAATAATCTGATACTTATTATATGTTGGATAAAATCATATGCTTTATCCAGTAGCTTGCTTCTATCTCATAAAATCAAATTTAGATAAAGATTATACATCAACATTTAGAATATTATTAGTGATAAAATGTAAAACAAAAAAGCTAACTTTTAATTCCAAGGTAGTAGAGAAGGTTGTCTGGTTATATGTGAAAAGAGCAACTAAACTAATTAAAGATAGTACATTGGACGGTACAGGTTACACTTTGGCAAGCTGTGAGCATTTTCGTTAATCTTGTTAAGACAGCCAGATGACCTCATGTTTAGCTAGCACAAGCTAATTATATAATTCCTATCTATTTCTATGTTTTAAAAGTATAAATAAGTATCTCGCTATACAAAAAACATGTAAGTCTTATGTAAAAAAATTAAACCAGAGGAATTACTCCAAAAAATGCCTGTAAAAGGAAAAGCTTACAATAAAACAATATTTCCATGCTGTAGTTTCCTCTTAATTTTCACCTGTAAATTTCTGGTGTTACTGTATTGGGTATTATGTTAAATATTATTAAATTCTGTTATTTTCTGATGTAGTATATTCTATGACAGGGATATAATGTTCTGATCCTAGATTTTTTCTCTATTGTTACTATCAAAAACTACAGCTTAATATTTGCTACTTTCTAGCTTATTATAGTATATTATAACATAAGCTAGCCTTTACACTTTACCTGCCTTTCCCATAAACAGGAGTGAAAGTTATTAGTTCCATCCTGATTGATGCAACATTTAGAACTACTTAACATGCTGTGATGATGAATGATAGGACAGACACGAGGTAAAAACCAACAAAGAAATAAGATGCTATACTTGAAAGTTTCCTAAATCATATTTCTTAGACATCTTGCAGGATATGTACATTTGATTTATAAAACAAATACTCCAAAAGTGCATGTAATTAACCCAGAGCTTTCAAAGATAATTTAATCTTGAACTTAATTAGCTTTGAGCAATAAGAAATGAAAAGTTCAATGATTGAATAAAAGCAATCATTTTGTATTATTAGTGACCAGTCAAACTAAATAGATCATTCTTTACATTTAAAAATATTTAAACAAAGACATATACAGTGTAACTTACAATAAAATTAAGGATTGTGACCAAAACTGAATTTTTTTAAAACACAATCCAGAACTATCAACAGATGAATAATGTTGAATGTGAACGTTTCCTAAAATGGTAACACTGTAGGATTTACTGGTAGTTTAAATCTTGATGTCAATTTTAACATACATTTGCTTTCAATTTACTCTACATATCTACTGGTCAAAAGCAAACAAGTGTGAATGTAATAAACAAACAGACACTGGAAATCTCACATATCCCGATTAGTTGTGATTGACTTTCTTCCAATTGAAAAAAAGTACTAGTTCTGGTTAATATCAACTATAACATTGTTACTAAATACAAAGTAATATTTGATCTGTCCAAAACCAGGATGGGGAGAATGATCCTATTTGGTTAGTTCATACATACAGGTAATGCAAGCACATTTAACATTTAAAGAAATACGTTTTTGACAGAACTCACCAGGGCCATGTACCATATTGGCCCGATTATAGGGTGATCTCGAATATAAGACGACCCCCATTTTCAGAAAACATGGGAAAGAAAAAACACTGAGTGTCATAACGTCCTTAACGTGACAGCAAAATCAATACTATAACTGAACAGCCTGCAGGTGGATTAGTTGCAAGAATTAGCAATGACCTTGAGTGAACATTTGGTGTGTATGCATAGATGGATTTTATCTGGACATTCAGGAATGCAACAGGCTAGAGTAGAGGGAAAGGGCCCATGGTTGGATGCAATTATAAAGCAACTATGAATTTTACATCCTAATTATTAACCAAAAAACACTGCCCTATAATCAGGCCAATACAGTATGTTTGGTTGACAATGGTATAGTTACATTCTTTTCTGTATATTTACTTTTGCCAACTAAAACAGGCATATAACACTTAGAAAGAAACCTTACTTCCGTGAGAGAGAGTTTAAGTTAAGCTGATAGAAATTTGTTGTGAATGAGAACAAAGAGAACTGCCATAGAGTCTTACCACAAAGCTACATAGAACTGCTAGTACTTCAACTGTAGAATGGGAAGTCACCAACAATTATTTTAGGGACTTTCAGAGTCTTCAACTTTGCACCAACAATGATGACAAACACAGGAAATACAATTAACTCGGGACATCCAAAGCAAATCATTGGAATGAAATTAGATTTGAGAGGAAGAGATCTAAAAGGGTAGAATTTGATGAGAATGATAGTGATCTGCACCAGAAGTATCAACTCTATTAGGCTTCTTCCCACACCAAATTTATTTCCATTTCAATGATTCATTTTGGGTGTAAGTATTCTCAAGAGTGGACTGAAATGCCTATACATACTAAAAAATTTTTTTTTCTGCATCTGAAAGTCTTTGATTTCAAAGACAGTTCATCTTGATTTCACAATCTGCAGTTGATTCACAATTAATTTTGAGTAGCTTTCTCTCCATTTCATCAACCTTCACATTCAATTTGGCAGAAAAAAAACATTCCACAGCTGGTGTGAAGCACTTAAAAACTAAATTTACAGAATATCTTTTAAATAAACAACAAGTTCAAACTTAGCACAGAAATTAGGTAACTACGACTACTAAACTGACATGCACTCATACTACCAACCAAAAAAAAAAAGCAAAGCTATTCATGTCATACTTATTTGTATCTTTTAGGTTTATGGCCAAAAATATTGTTAACAGCAATGGTATCCAGCTGATGAAGCAATGCAGTTTAGTATTTATAAGAAAGGACATAAAAAAAGTAAGTACAAGAGCTATACTTATCACTAGCTTCATTTTTAGGTTTGATCTAAGTATGTAGTTTATTCTGATTAAAATTTAATACTAATCCTTTACATATTTAGATACATAAACAGTAACAGTGCTATACTAACAACTAAGTCAAATGACAAATTATTTCAAGTAATTTTGATCTTAATATGGTTCTACAATAATTTCATCATTAGAGTGCTTTACTACATAGGAAAATACATATGTAGAAATGACAAGGAAATGGCTATATGCAAATAGACTTTACATATTTTATTAGAATCAAAAGCAACAGCATCCAAATGGAATTGAACAACATCACCACCTGTTGACAGTCCTGGAAGACAAACTTATGTTGATGCAAGTATATTATAAAACCAACAGACATGTTCATCATTTTAACCAACTTGGTTTCTAAAGCCTTTGTACTTGGATACTTTAAATATATAATCCAATATTTTATTATGTCATTTCTAAAATAAAACAGGAAAACTGAGGAGTATTTTTTCATTTGTACTAACATGCTACTCATACTTTGATAGTGTTAACTAGGTTTTGAACAAAACTGAAATTATGTTTTCTCATATGATGAAATGAGGAGGTAGGTTTGTTTAACAGTAGCCTTTATAATGGAAATAGAACTAATAAAAAAATAAAATATATACAATGTTCCAAAGTTTACATTCTGCACTTTTAGCATTCTATAACACTACCTTCAAACATTCATATATTACTATTCATTTGAAATTTATAGATGTCTTTAATTTTTAATTTAATTTGGTTTTAAAACAAGTGGTTGTATTGTAAAATAATTATCAGACCAACCAAGATAAAAATTACCACAACAGATAATGAAAAGCTAAAATGATAAACTACATTAATAATTATGTACACTTTATGAAATTTGCAAGTTTTAACATGGTTTTGTATTATCTTTTCCTTCTTATCAAAGAATATAAATCATGAGATATTAAAACACTACAATGGTGATAATAATGATAATTAAAAGATGAAAACAATAAAAATATGGCATCTTACAAGCTACAGTAATTTCAAAATGATACACAGAAAAATCTGATTTACATCAACCTTTCCGAAGCATTAAATGCCATTATATACAATGGACAATAGCATCTTTCTCAGCTGTTCTTGGACAAAGAACCAGCTTCACTATATGTGGTAAATCCATGCAATATTAGGCATGGACAAAATGTAATATTTTCTTACAAATACAGGATAATCACACCATACTCTCTGTTATACACTTCTCTCAACTTTACATATTAACGTTTATTGCCAGGAGTAACTACTCAATGCTGAGGCAGCCAGTGGTTATTCCTATCTTCTGCATCTCTTGAAGATCTGACATCATTAGGGATACGATGATAGCGGTAGTGTTGATACGGCACATCACCAGCATCACTAGTCTGACTAGCAACTCTTTGAGGTCCAAACAAAAGACCATTGTAATACATTTCTTCAGCTGGAGGAGAACTTGATACGAAAAAAGATAATATATTTTGATCTTAATTGTTTGGTTAGAATATTCACTAAAATAATCAGTCTTTATAACTGACTAAAAGTTGCAAATTCATATATTTTTAGAAATTGTGCATGTAAGATATATCTACATTATAGTTTGTCACTTTGAATTGTTTATGAAACATTTATTAAAAGAAACCCACTCTACATTTATGATTTCTTAAGTCTAAAATCATTTTAAATATTATTGGGCAACTATCACATACTGTTCTTAGGCATAAGAATAGTTGAGGTTTTCTAGTGTTATTATAAAAAATAAACTATAACAAAATAGTTAATTCTCTTAATGAGCATTCACTCTAGAAACACCACTAAGGTTTAAGTGAAAATTATTGAAATGATGCACAGCGTTTTCTAGACGAGTTCTTAATTTCTAACTTGTCTATACAAGTGCATAAATAAAGATGTACTTTTAAAACATGCTATGACTTAGTTGAACATCCTCACTCAATACATAGAAACACATTAGAAAAAAAAAAGTAGAATGATATACACTATTTCACAGTTGTATCAAGGCTACCATATGCAGTTAATACCAAATACTGTAAAGCTGAGCAGTGAGGAAAATAATGTATTTACTTTTTGTCTTCATTTACATTTCAACAATACAATCTTGATTATCCAATAACAACAATACAAAAGTTTGACTTCTCCGTGTGGTATTACTTTTTCTGGCTCATGTGGTGAGGTAATGTATGAGTTTCTAAAACTATGTCACAATTTACTGTTAAAGAATAAAAATAGCATTATGTTCTACATACACACACATATATATACAGGGTGGCCCAAAAGTAGGTATATAGTTCATAATTGTTAATATATTTAACAGCACTTTCCACATGACATGAAATTATGGGAAAGTTAATCTCATAAGTTAAACCCGTTGCTGTTCACATAATCCTGGAGTCTGCCTGCCACACTTCTGCAAACTTTCTGACACAAGTCTGTCTGTCCATCAAGTTCTGTAAATGTGTCTGTGATGTATCCTTTTATTTCTTCAACATTCAATGATTTCCTACTGTACACTACCCAGAAGGAAAAGTCCATATGCAACTGTATACCTACTTTTGGGTCACTCTGTATATATATACACAGAAGAGTTGAAGATATTTTTATTATAAATTTTCATGATGATAATAAATTTCCAAATTTGTACTATGCAATGGTAGTACAGGAATTGTTACTACTAGTCATTATTGTGTAAAATATAATAAATGTTAACACTGGAAACTGTTGTAAACCAAATTATCAAAATAAAACATATTTGTTAGATACAAAAACTGTTAAAACAAATGTGCTTTTTTAATATAGTAAGTGTTATTACTAAAGTGTGTTGCTAAAGACAGAAGGCCTGTTACCAGTAAGACAACATTAGGCAGAAGACCTATTGATACAGAGCACTGCTTTTAGAAAGAAGACTTGTTAACAATATGTACTTTTATTAAAAAAAACCCATTAATTCTGACACTGAGCAATGTTATTAAATATTATAGACTTGTTAATTGATAAACGTGTTAACACTACATACACTGTCTTTATCTAAAACATTTGTTAACATTATAGACCCAATTATTAAATGTAAGATGTATTAACATAAGCAGCTATTATTATATAAACCTGTAAACACATGATGTTGTTATTCAACAGGCCTGTTAGTACCACAAAATGTTATTAGATAAACCTATTAATACTAGACATTGTTAGAGAGAAAATTTATTAGCACCAAATGTTGTGGTTAGACAGAGGAACTGTAACCAATAAATAAAACTGATAAATTTAAAAACGTTAAAAAATGACAAAAGAAATATGTTAACAACAACTATCTTTCCACTATAAGAACTGCTACACTACACAACATTGTCCAACAAAAGATTTGTGAACATTAAAGAATCCTAGCTATAAGCTACAGAAGCTGTTAGCTCTATAGTTTCTCATAAGATATGGATATGTTAAGTTAATTCTAGATGCTGTTTTAAAGCAGACAGGTTAACATTAGACCATACCACTTAAAGACTTTTAAATGTGGAATGTTAGCATTAGGTATTGTTAACAGTGGATGTTGCTATTAGATAAAAACTGATTTAAAACTAAATACTGTTAGAGAGAGGACCCTTTAATACCAGATATTGCTGTTATTTAAAAGAACAAAACATTATTAATAGATAACAAAGGTTAATAACGATAGAAAATGTTAAAAATAAAACCTCTGAATGCAAGATTACCATTGTCATATGTAGGGATTGAAACAGTTTGTTAGACAGAATATCCATTAGCATTACTTGTTTGTATGCCACTGATATAATACTAGACAAACAAATATAGTCATCTAAGTTTAGTTTAATTATCTAAATTTGTCTATGGCTTAAAGTGATGTTATATAAAGGAACCATTAACATAATACACCATTGTGATATTTAATAACTGTTACATTGAACATACTCTAATTCAAAAATAATTAAATATATAATATGTATATCTTATTTGATGGAACATAATGCCAAATTGAGCAATTTCATTTTCTATTCATTGTAAAAGATATTTATCCTCTGATCAAAGTTTTAATAAAATTTCTATACCAAGAAGATGAATAACATTTTTATCACATTTATAAACATTTCAGGAATTTAAATCGTCGATCTAAGGTAACACAAAAACAATTTATTACAGAGACAATACGTAGTTATTGAAATATAGTTTTGTTATAGAATTTGAAAAAAATTATAATTTATAAATCAAAACCTGAGAAGATACTTAACTTGAAAAATGAAACAGTTTACTACATATTTATATATATATATACACATACACACACGTCAATCTATAGAAACACAGTTATTAGATTAATGTCTTCATTGTTCATATTTCTGTGATAATATTAATACGAGGAGCTATATAAAAGCTATCTTAATCATTCTGTATCAAATTGTTTTGGTATTTCTCATTGTAAAAGGACATTTCCTACACAATCAACAAACTCCTGAAGTTCTATTAACCAACTTATGGTTTTCTACCAGACCAATGAGACTCAAGTTAAGTCTTGTAAATAGGTTTTAAAGATAATCTGATATTTTCATGGCAGATTACCATTTCAAGGAAACTGAAATATGAGGCAAGCATTTTTAGAGCAATTAATTGCACATTTGAGAAAAAATATTTTATTTTTACTTGCAACAACTATTTTTAGGTGTAATTTCTATGAACTCTAGGCATAATACTTTATTAACCTACAGTATGCATTCATAAAACACACTAACCAACAAAAATCATTATTAATCTTAATATCAACTAACAGACAAGTTGTGTTTTTGTTAAATTTTACTCCAATAAAATCTTAGATATCTTTGTACAACTTAGTTGAATTGCTAAATCTAACAAAACTAACATATCTTAGAATTAACACATGAAGAAATGTGACGTACTTAAAAAGCACTTACTCAAAAAGAATCCATACAATATAATAACACAGACAGAAGCCACCAACCAAAATAATTCCTACGATGATGCAAAACAGCAGAAGGATGTGGCCACCCTATGATATTAAAAACAAAAATCTATCTTGTCACTTAACATGCACCTGAAAGAAGTTAAATATACATCAACTAGATTCAACATAAAATTAACAGTGTTGATTTAAAATAAAATATTCATAGCACTCAATGTATAATTATTAATTCAAGTTCAATAAACAGTAATACCCAAAAACTACAATGCTATGTTTTTCTTTGGTTTTTGTACTATACAGAATATTTAACACAGGTAACATTCAAGTTATATTACAGCACACAAATAATTTGATCTGAAAAATATGATTAAATCAACAAGCACTATTTTTAAAGATTAGTGAGCTGACTTTGTTATAACAAGACCTGAACTTACGGTTATCACTAAAGTTTTAAGAATGATTATATTTATGGGTTTATTTCCACATGTAGTAAATAAATACTGTAATATAACTTTCAGTAAACAACTGCATATACATAATTTAAAAACTCATTTTAAAAGGAAAAAATGATAAATCTTGTAGGTGAATTTAAATTCAAGGGCAAATGATCTAAAACTTGAACTGTTTATAGGTTAGCAAGGATGCAATTACTTTCATTATACACATAAACACATACACAGTATTGGACATAATTATGGAGATGGTGAGGAAAAAGAAAACCAAAGGCAAATACTACACAAATGCCACCAAATGACTGTGTAACAAAGAAATGTGCCAATGTAACATGTTTAAGGTATGCCTTACCTGCTGAAGTGAGTCATCCCACAAGTTCTCACAAGAAAGGTAAAAACACACAGCTTTGTTGAGATCCTCTAAATATGAAAAGAGAGAAAATGATCAATTACATACTATAATTATTATGATAGTTCACTTTATCACAGGGTAATTAAAATCACTGAGTTGACTCATAAAGTTTTCATACATAATTAACACTAGTAATACAAATGACTGTTTCACACAGAATTTAAGAAATGAGAAAATTTTCAGTGTTACTCATGTATGCACAGAATATATATATATATATATTAAGAAATTAGTTATGAATTCATAAGATATGCTTTTAGCTTGAGCTCTCATCCAATAAAATGTCATCTTTAGTATCTATGTTATATTATGAATTATAGATTTAAATTTTAAACTTTTTAGGAAAAACAGTAAATTTTAGTTAAACTATAAAAACCAACCTTCAATATCCTGAAAATCTTTCAAGCTCAGAGTTGCTAACAGTCCCACAATGCACTGACGAATTACTGCCTGAAACACAATCAATAACTCTCACTTAAAATTAAATCGCTAGCCTAAGAGGTGTGACATGATTATGGCACCTCTAGTAAAGTTTAAAATTATACAATGCCAAAAAAAAAGTATATGTTTTCAGATCAAAAGTTAAACCTTGACAAAAGGTTAGGCCTTCAGAGTGCTTTTTATTATGTTTAAAATAAAAGAACAAAAGTTCCTATAGAATGATATTTATGCATATATAATATTCCACATCACAAGAGTAATAACTGTAATGTTATTTAGGAATCCTGATATTATTTCTTTGATGCAAGCAACTGTATTAATTACAATGTCATCTTCTGAGTACCAGTATAAACAGAAACAATATTAGTATTAGAGATGTGTCAAAACATAAAAAGTAAAAGCTTTACTGACTTTAGTGCTTAATATTCAGCTATGCAGTTAGGAGAAGAATTCTCTCTTCTTGGCCCATGATTTGGAAGAGATTTTTGTTTGTTTTCAGCTGGATGATATTTTTAATAATTATAGCAAGGGAGAAAAAAAATATCATATTACTTGGAAATACACTTAACTCATACTATAAAATTGAAATGTAATGTACCCCATAGAAGATGTAACCTTACATTTGTGAACTACTAAGTATTTAACACAATGTTTGCCTTTAATGGTAAACTATACTGGTGGTTCCCAACCTGTGGTATGCATACTACCAGGGATTCATGAGAACCTCTGAAAAAACAAAAAAAGATAATAAATAGACCATGTGCCTCAAAATTGGATGGAAGTCTAAATGAGTTACCAATAGCTCCATAAGCCAGCACTCAATTTTCACATGTTGACTCACCCTTCAATTATTTAGTTTAATTTATAATTTATCAATGTAAACTACTCTAAGTTTTTAACAAATCAAAAGGTATGCTATTAGCTTAAAGGTCTGATTTGTGGAGTACATGATATATGAAAAGATTGGGAGCCATTGGACAACTTAATATGTATGCATTGTTGTAGTAGTTTTAATTGTTCAGCAGGTTTTTTTGGATTATCCAGTGAAAATAAGAATGGAAAATCTAGTCTACTTAATGAAAGCATTTTGTTTCTTTGACTATAAGTTCTACAAGTTTGTTTAACTAATATTCCCTGATAAGCCTCAATTTGCAGTACATGCAATTTCACTTAGTTGCTAACTACACTCTTGTATGTTGGTATATCTCTTTACTTCATCAAAACACAAACTCAAAATTCACAGAATTGATCTGACTCACTGGCTGATAGTAACAAACAAAACTGACTGAAAAGCTTCCTAACTCAATAATTAATCATAATCTGCAAGAGACTTAGAAATATATAACCATCTATTCTAGCTTAACTTGTTTGTTATATGGTTCAAAACCTTTCCTAAACTTTCAATAATGTTCTTGTCATTAAGCTACAAACTCATCATGACATCAAACCTCCTTCAGGTAAAATGCCAATACAAATGACTAAATTAAAAACACTGCCTACAGCACAGCCCCATACTGGATTGTGAAGTTCCTTGAACAATCACATTACACAAAGAAAACAATGGTAAATAAAACTTAAACTTGCATAATTAACAATAAAGTAATTTTTGACAATCAACAACATTAATATTCATAAGTATAGGACTTACAATCATTGAATCATTAATTAAATGTGTGGAAGAGAATATAATTCAAATTTTGATCATTTACTGTCCCTAAACCGTTCAATCACCAATTTATTTGTGATTTTCTTATTTTTCACTTGTGATGCAAATGTAAAGATGGGATAACTTTTTATCTTTTGTCATCACTTGACACCTTGTTACTGGGAGAGTTCTCTACATATAGATGGTTGTGGGAATCTGCTGGTGGTTCTATCTTTGGTGATACACATGAAGCTATTTTAATAGGACTCTTCGGTTCTTTAGAATGTTGATGCACCTCTGGTAAAACCTCTTTTTGAAGCTAAACAGTTTGGCATTCCTCACTAACATACAAGGATGATCATAGTAGATAACCTTTGGCTCAGACCACCTGTTCTTCTGAATTTTATAAACCACACCATTGATTTATTTGACTACTTCATAGGGTCCTTTCCCAACATCATCTAACACTGGAGATCATCCTCTCTTTTGCAGCATGGATTGTACAGCCATGATTCATCACCATAAAGAAATCCAGTTTTACTAGAATTTACACCATAGTGAGTTTTCATCTTATCACAACTGATAATACTCTTTCTCAAATAAAATAATGTATGGCATCAATGGTGTTCATTAATCACACTAAATACTCTGTGTAAGACTCTGCAGAGTGATAGTCCTTAGGGCAATGTTGGTGAGTTGCTTGTAGTTTCATGTACTGTGGTTCAATAACTTATGAGTAGAAGTGGAAGATCTTGATCATGTGTTCAGTGATGTTATTCAGCTTTACTGGCCAACTGATTTAGAAGTGTATTGTTGTATTTCTCCTCCATTCCATCAGAAGAAGGATGGAAGGCTGTATTCCTTGTCTTCCTGTTCCTAAGGATTTGACACACCTCTGCAAATAAGACTGATTCAAACCTTTGTTTCTGATCCAATTAAATTCCACAGTCACCTCAAATTTTGAAGTAAGTTGACTGACATATTTCTTCGCTAGAGTTTCTGCTTCCTGGTTAGGAACAGCATATGCTTCTGACCATTTGGTAAAATAGTCCATAACCACCAAAATGTATTTATTCCTACTTCTGCTCTGTTGTAAAGGATCAAGTACATCAACAGAAACTCTCAAATTGAGCTAAAACATAATACTACTGTAGTTGTCCATGTTACTGCTTTTGTGGACGTTTTTGTTCACATCAAAGTTCACACAATTTACATCACTTCTCTATATCAAATGCAGTAGAAATTTTGCCTTATCCTCTCCAGTGTCTTCTTTACATCTAAGTGTCCAATTATTAGAAAGTGTGGGGATGACAGATGCTTCTGATTGGAGTGAATGTGGAGGTACCAACTGAAGTAATTTTTTTTTCAGTTGTACCTTCCCATTTCCAGTAGAGCAAGCTCAAGCCTTCTTTTAAACATAACAAATCCCACTATGCCAAGTATATCTTTGTGCTGTATTGAGCAATTAAACAAATTTTATTTAATTTGAAATGTATTAGCAGAGAAGAGTACCATTTTTAAAAGATATCTGAATTAATATATACAAAAATCAAACTTTTAGAACTTTAAAAAACCTAACTTATAGTTTACAATGTCTTGAAATAACCACTCTTCATAATATATTCGGAAAATTTATAGTTAATAAAAATTTGACTATTTTGAGTTTAAGTTGAAGAAACAACAAGAGTCAAAAGTTTAACTTAGAATTCGAATGAGATGAACAAAAAATAATTCATTTTTGTTTTTTGAACGATTCCACTTCGTGTTAATAGAGGGAGCTATCATCCATAGTTATTCTAACACAAGATGTGTTGCAGATAGAGAGAAAAAAAGAGAGATCGATTTAGCAGATTGTTACGAATGACATGGCATCTTTACAAAAATATGAACAGTTGCGCGTAAATGTTTGGAATATGTATAAGCAGGTTAGTGAAAACGTGCTTACTAGTGAATGGTCTTAAATGGCGGACAAAAGATGACTGTCAACTGGAAAACTTATTTATAAAAACGCCAAGGGACAGTGCAAAAATCAAATCAGTGTCTCAGCATGGCCTGAATTAAATGTAAGAGATACTTTTGCGATTTTTACGCTAAACACAGGAGTATCAAGATTAAGATGTCATTACATCATGAAAACAAGAACTATTTTTAAAGTCAGTTTCGAATGTACTTCTGCTTCTGTTAGGTACTAAATTGTAAACTATTACATGGATTAAATTCAACCATTCTTTGACATCTCGTAGTTAAACGTATCAGTGGGCGCAAAAAATTTCACTAATAAAACATATTTGTGTTATTTGTGGACTTTTTCGACAATGACCCCTCAAGAGCTATCTGCGCTAGCCTTTCTAGGTTTTGAAGCGATAGACTAGAGGGAAGGCAGTTACTCAATACCACCCTCCGCCAACTCGAGAGCTATTGTTATCAAATAATAGGATTTAATTGTCCCTCTTGTCACACCCCCAAAAACGTTTAATTCGTTGCATCGTATTTCAATAGCTGTAAAAAAGATGATTTTATGTTATAAACATCTAAAAAAACAACAAAATATTTCTCTTTTCAATTCTTATTTGCTCTAATTATTGCTTAATGTATGTTTTCAAAACAGGCCGGGGTATGTGTGTGTTTTCCTATAGCAAAGCCACATCAGACTATCTGCTGTGTCCACTGAAAGGACTCAAAACAGGCGAAAGAGCTAACTTACTTCATTCGTGCAATAGTTAAAGAAGCACGTGAAAACAGTCAAACTGTAGCTTATATACTAGTAACAATGCCGTAATGAACAAAAGTATTCGTTTTACTGTCGTTGGCAAGTTGAGTTAAATGCAAACGATCATTGATTTGTAGGTGATTTTCTCTTGCGTCTTTTCGGTATATAGCATGTAGTGTTAACGCCATCTGTCTTCGAGAATAAAAACCAGCAAAGTTGAGTATTGAGTATTAAATTTTTGATAGTATATGTGTATGTATTGGTTTGTATTTTACTAAACTTACTAATTACCTGTTCACTTCTTAAACTATAGGCATGACAAGATTTTTTAAAAGAGTTACTATAAATACTTTTCACTACTGTCAGTAAAGGTTAGTGCACATTTGCAGACGTTAATCATAAACGAATAATGAATAAAAACAAACACGAGTGTGCCCCATTATGTTGTTTTCTCAGAAGTTTCCTATGGACCAAATGAAATGTTTGTGTACATACATATCTATATTAGAAGGCAATTTTTACTTTCAATAAGTTCATAAGAATTAGTTTGAACTGTGAAGTGCACTCGTTCTTCAGACATATGTAAATATATAAATGCATAACAACCCAAAGAAAATAACCGACTGTTTTTGATCTTTGAGAAAAGACGATTCA